AAACTACATACTTTGAAAATACATGCTGTCAAAAAAATTTATACAGTTAAATTAGACTATTGATTTAATCAAGATTATTGTCAAAAATATAATGAAAAGGTGGGCTATAGCAAGGCTATATTAGCTAATGTAACTAATAATAAAGTGATTACCAATCAAAAAGATGTTTAAGCAGCACAAAAAGACAGGAAAGGTAGGTGTACAAACATTATAAAATCATGAACTTGCAAATTATGTGTCATCTTTTGTCCTTCTCAACATAATGAATATTGAATCAAGAATATTAAAACTATGATTCAAGTGTTTGCAATGTAATGCTCAAGTTTATTAAGGTGCTAAATAGGAAAATTTAAGAGATATTAACATAAAAAATGAGCTAATTAAAATTTCACATTTACCGCTTTCCTAGTACGGAATGTCGGCATCATTCTATGAAGAATACCCTTTAGCTTGAAAGGAGCAAGGGGCACCAAATGAGTGATAGAACACAAAGTTTCATGTAGCTGTCCATTAATCCTTTTCCTTTCTCCACACCATCTTGTCTGGCATATATATCCACACATCCTTTCTGGTGGCTGAAAGTTTCTTACCAGCATCTCTAAGCTATCTTCAAGAAACTTGTCTGGTACGACAGCCTGGTTTGAAGATTTCACAGTAGAAAGTAACACAGTCAGTTAATCAGCCAAACAATCAATAAAGTAATCTAGAAGGAGAAACGAATACCAAGTTAGCAATTAATTCTAACAGAGCAGTTCTGGTATCCAAACCATAGTCCCAAATACACATTGTGAAAATCTGGACAAATATAATCAAATTTAATAAGGTTACCAAATAATGTAATTCATAAGTATGTGAGACTATGTAAACATACATTTCTTAGAAGTGAAGCATGGTAAATAGTGCTTATCTTGTAGACAACACCTGATAGCGCCTTCAAAGCTGTCTGGAAGTAAAAGAAAAATTAATCAGATTTGTCAAGTCATGTGCCTGCTTAATAGTAGAACAGGATATGCAAGATGAAAACTTACCGCAAAAAGGACCTCTTCATCCAGGTTCTTTTTTCTTGTCAAGGGGTTCACAATCACAAGGAGTTGTTCGTAGAGATCCTTATCTCGTTCAGCTACCATATTTGGAGGCTGGAGAACCAAAAATATATTTAAAACAGAAAAAATGCACTTTCGACAACTCCAATTATTTTGACTGGCCAGGTAGAGAAAGGACACTTACAGTACAACAACAACATCATCAAACATTTATCCCACTACGTGGGGTTGGCTACATGAATCTTTTTTCTCCATTGTGTATTGTTAAGAGTTTATTGAGAGGTTTGATGGAGAAATATAGAGAGAAT